AAAACATTTTATATGGTTCACTAACACACCAATTTGGTGGCCGTATGTCGCAGAAGGCACCGGTTATGGCGCTCACCTGTAAAGTACGATATTTATACGAACCGAATTTTTATTTTCCTTCTTGCAGAAGCTTACCAATTTCTTTTTAAGCGAAGGACGCTCACGTAAAATGCGCTCGTAGAAATGCAATGTGTTGTACAAATAGGTAATAGGTCGATCTATGCAAGAAAAGTTGAAATTCGGAAAAGATTTAATCAATAGTAGCTATGCGTGCGAAAACATATTTTATATAAATTTAAAGTACCATGAAATTTATACAGAACGCTCAAATGATCCAATATGACTTCACAGATTTGATGCACATGCTGTATGGGCAATTCAATGAAGCGATGTACGACAATATCCAGCACTGGCAAAAACCGCAGACATACATTTGAGAAATAAACAGGCAATGGAGGATGTGATGCCGATTCATCAGGTGCAAATTTCTCAGGATATTTCTGATGAAATGATAAGTGCTTTTCGTGCCTGAATAGTTTTAAACAAAAGACAAATTTGTATATATTTTCTTCTTTTTTTGTTGAGATGTGTATATGCTTTAATAACTCAACCAATTATTTTGCTTCCAATGATCAGGATGATTCTCTTTGCAAAACTCCTGTATACGGTTGCGTAATTCTGATGTTTTAAGTAGGAGCAATTGTATAATAAGGAAGCAAACCTGTGCTTCATTGCCCTCCTGGGTGCGCAAGGCCAAACAAAGTACAACGCGGTCAATTGTAACAATATTATATTTCCAAATCATGTTATTAATGGTATCGACACATTTATGTATGAAATCTTTGCCATTGCTATTGGCCACCTCGCCAACTAAATAGTCGCATAGCTTGCGCAAATGTGCTGAAAGTGCGCGGGCGCTAATGCCCTCTAAAATTCTACAAAACAAATTTGTGAAATTGAATGCAAAAAAACTTTTATATTACGTGTACGTACTTATACGCCACTGGACTGACATTCTCCGTTTCCCAAATCATTTTGAAAAGTAAACAAAGGAAAAGTGGATTTGTGCTGGGCCGTATAAAATGATTCATAATGTCGTTGTCATTTGACATCGATGTCCAGTTACGATATTCTTCCTCGACGGATTTTTTAAGCAACTGTTTATTCTCCAAAGGATGATTATTTTGTACAAAAAACTCATTTAAAGCAGGCGGAAAGCAAGCCAGTGAGTGCGACGCCCATGAATGCGGTGTATTTTGCATTATAATATTGAGTAGCTCTTTACACCAAGGCTGCAGTTCGTCGCCTATGATAAGAAAAAGCGGAAATTATCAAATGTTTAAAGGTTTTTAAAAAAAGAAATACCCACCGAGTCCAGTCATGTGCATTGAACGTGCCAGCGTTAGTATCAGCACACGATTCAGTTCCTCACTCTCGCTCGATGCGACAGAACCAGGTGGTTTTTCGCTAAAATAGCGAGACATTTGTGGCTGCATTTCTACTGAGCCTAGTCCAGTGATTAGACGCAAAGCTGTCGATTCGAAACTAAGGAAGGATTATGAAATAAAAAAGACACTTCATTTCTCAATATTCGTTCGTACTCACCACAAATTCAATTGCATTTTATTGGTTTGCGGCGAAACGACCGTACAGTGGGAAAGCAGCTGAAGGCGATATTGTGTTGGTATGTGATGTAAACGATATAAGAACATTTCCAGCAGCGTATGTAGTATGCCCCAGGCCTGGTGCTTGAAAACAGCGGGCAGCAATTGCTCTAAAAAAGTTAATGAAAAAGCAATAAATTATATATATATATATTAAGAATGATTTGATTTCTTCCGAATAACTTACGCAAGAATCCTTTAATGCCCAGCGATTCGATTTCGGTGTAAACGAGCAGTCGGGCATAGGTTTCTACTAAAGCTGGTGCAGGTATTGAGCTTTTGGCCTGCGCTTGTTTAATCATTTGCGTAAAAAAGCTGTGAAACATCAATCATAATAATTACGCTGCTAATTTCGAAAAAAGTATGTTCTTGCATTACCTATGTATTAGCGACATTTTACTGTGTACAGTTAAGCTGTCTAAAACAACCATAGAGAACGGTGCTGAGGGTAGTTGCCCGCCAGCTGCAGTTTTAGCATTTCCATTTAACGCTTCGGTAAGTATATTCATTGGACGTGAAAAATACTCTTGATTTGTTGAATATGCATTACATATGAGTATAATACGGAAATCGTTGCCCAAACTCATAGACATCATTGTATTTGGCATAACAAGGTGCTGTAGAAAACTGTAGGCAAATAAAACATTTAATTGACGTAAACTAAAGAAGTCTGGAAATCAAACGTACTCGTGATGATTTTTTAATGCAATTGGCAATGGTCTATTAATATTCATATTCTCCAGTCTAGCCTTTTTCATCAGGTGTATCCAAATACAAATGGGCGCCATCTGCGAATAGAACGCTGTTAACAATTTCTATTCGAAAATGATTTATGTTTTTTATAAGAAATTACCTGTCGCAATAATGAGGATTTTGTGCAATCTGGTAATTTTAGTGGTTCCTGCTCAGGATAAAGCAAGTCAAACAGCTTGAATGTTGGTAGAAAATTAGCTATCTATTAACGAGTCATATGAATATGTAATGAGAGTTAATGATATATCCTTTTTTTGTAATTTTTTTAGTACTACATACTGGATTCTTTTGTATGCTACCAGATATAAACTGCAATAGTATCCACATCAGCTGATCGCGTCCCTTTCGCAATTCCTTCTTGGAGAGCTAAAAACGTTAATAAAAAAATTTAAAGCCAGAACCTCATTCAAATGCAATGGTATTTACCTTTTCATACAATGCAGTCACTATGTGTGAAAAACTTACGAACTGAAAGAGAACAAAGTATATCAGCTGTGACGATAAGTGTAGCCATACCCATTCGTTCATGGAGGTTTGCTCTTCATAAACATTGAAGCTACTACCCATCATAGAGTCATTGCTCTCGGTCATTTCCATGGCAGATATGATCAAATTAACCAACTGTTCCTCGAGCGCATTGCAACGTTGCTTTTGTTGCTTCTGCAAACTCATCATAACGGAGACCATCTCCTTGGAATAGGGCTGATCAAGCACATAACGCAAAAGTTTTGTTTGCTCTTCTAGCAAATCTGAGTCATAAGGAAGATTGCCTTTGAAAACGAAGCGTAAAGTATTCGGATCTAATTTCCATGAGTTCATCATATGATCGGCATAACCGAAACACTCAACAATAGGTAACATATGTGAGTGCCCTATGATTGACACCATTTGCGCGGTCCTGCGAAACTCCTCCATGAAATCAGTCATCATTTTGTTAATTGTCTGGAAGTTTTGAAAGTCGTTTTCAGTTACTGCTAACAAAATATTTAATGATAACTACCCAGTGATATGGTGGTGGCTTCATTATTTCATTGGCAATAAAATAGCCTGGCAGTAGACAATTATTACGATCAAATATGTAGTTTAATGTATCTTTCAGCGCCTGTAGTTGTGGTAAAAAACTGACGTTTATGTTAACGGGAAATGTTTGGGCTTTATCACGACACATCTGCAATAAATTTGGTAAATAATTTAAGGTAGGATAAGATATAATCTATCTTCATACCTTCATTATTTCACGCACTCCTTTGTAATCTACTAGCGATAAGACGCGTTTAATTATTTTGAAGCTCTCAATCCAAAAATTTGCGTTCTCATAAACGAGTCTGTCGCATAGCAAAATCTTATCGCATAGCATTCTGTATAGGATAGGAATTATTAAAATCTGAGGAAATTGAGTTTACCACTGTCACCTTGCCGTTATAGCATGTGCCTCCGCTAATTTACCCAGTGTATTCATTAGCACACGCAGACGCGAAATGTTTGTTGCAGTTGCCGCACGTTGCAAATATTGCCGCACCAAACCCTCTTTGTTGTCCTGAGGCACCTCCTCGAATTTACGCACTATGCAAATAAAAAGATTCAATGTCATGATTCAGCAAAGATAGTAGTCGTTTTTCAGCTGGGTACTTACAAATGGTTTCAGTAAATGAACAGGACTTCTCCTCCTCGCCGTTCGGTTTGTAGACAATAACGCTCAGGAACGCCTCCTCAATCGGTTCCACTTTCTACGAAATATGTAAACACAGTTGTAGAAGTAACTTTAATCAGAGTTTAGTGTACCTACCAGGAAGCTATTAACTGCTTCTAATATTTCTGTATCCATTTTTAATTTATCAAAATTTTGGTTGAAATAAATATATTATTTTATATTGGACAAAACAATAAAAAAGCGCACTGAAAACCGGCTACATGAAAGTAAACAGCTGTTGAAAACCAAACAACTGATTTGTTGTCACGCGCGTAGTATTGCCAGGTTTCAACAAGAAACTTTAGAACTCAAAAAACCTTTCTTCCAAGTTTACTGTAGGCTTTTAATACAAAGGAGAACCCGGGTCAAAATGGCTCCTCGACGAATATGGTCTTGCTGACCTGTCGAGTTTTCTTGTTAAAAGCAAATATTTGATTAATATACATAAAATGAAGTCGCTTCATTAAAAATAACATAAAAAATTTTAAACCAAGTGAAGATGATAATATAAAATAATAATTACATATGTAATGTAATAGATGTTAACATAAATAAAATTAATATTGCAAATTAATGAAAATGTTAAAGCGTACCGTTGAAACGGTACTGTCGTATGAACAATTAACTGTGAAATCAAAGATTTACTAATATATGTACATAATTGTTCCACGGAACAAAAGAAGAAATATT